TGCGGGGCTCAAATGCACGAACCATGAGATCGTGGCCTGAGCCGAAACCAAGAGTCAGACGCTTGAGCAACTGAGCCACCTCAGTGCTATTGATTTTTGTATTCTGCAGCTTTAAGGAATTCACGTATTAGTTCTAACAGTGGAAGCTTACTGTTTTTTATATAAAATAGCATGCCATCTGTAAATAGTGACAGTTTTACATCTTCCTTTGTAGTTCGATGCCTGTTACTTGTTTTTCATGCCTGATTGCTCTGGCCAGGACTGCCAGTACTGTGTTGAATAAGCACGGTAACAGTGGGGAACCTTATTTTGTTCCCGAGCTTAGAGGACAAATCTTCCGCTTTTCCCTGTTAAGGATGATGTTAGCTCTGGGCTTGTCATTTATACGGCCTGTAGTGTACTGCGGTGCGTTCCTTCTGTACCTAATTTGTTGAGGGTCTTTATCATGAAATGATGTTGTATTTTTGTTGACTACTTTTTCTGCGTTTATTGAGGTGATCATAGGATTTTTTTCTCCCTTCATTTTGTTATTGTGACGTATCACATTTATTGATTTGCATATATTCAGCCATCCTTGCATCCTGGGGGTGAATCCCGCTTGATCATGGCGTATGATCCTTCCATGTGCTGTTGAGTTCAGTTTGGTGGTATCGTGTTACGGAGTTTCTCGTCTGCGTTCATCAGGGATATTGGCCTCTACTGTTCTTGTCTTGTAGTGTCCTTATATGGCTTCGGTTTCAGGATAAAGCTGGCCTTGTAAAATGGCTTTGGACATGCTCCTGCCTCTTCGGTTTTTTTGGGAAGAAGTTGAGAGGGGTGGCTGTTAATTTGGCCTCAACTCTTTTTCCTGTTTGATTGGTCTCCTTACTCATTGTTAGTTTGTTCAGATTTTCTCTTTCTTTAGGAGTCAGCCTTGGGAAGTTGTGTGTTTTTTTTTTTTTTTAATTTTTTTTTTTTTTTAACGTTTATTTATTTTTGAGACAGAGAGAGACAGAGCATGAACGGGGGAGGGGCAGAGAGAGAGGGAGACACAGAATCGGAAGCAGGCTCCAGGCTCTGAGCCATCAGCCCAGAGCCTGACGCGGGGCTCGAACTCACGGACCGCGAGATCGTGACCTGGCTGCAGTCGGACGCTCAACCGACTGCGCCACCCAGGCGCCCCTGGGAAGTTGTGTGTTTTTAGGAATTTGTCCATTTCTTCTAGGTTGTCCAGTTTGCATTTAATATCATGTCGTGATTACCTTTGCATATTGGGAGGCAGTAGGGTGAAAATGGCTTTCCCGTCAGATCTGTGTTGCAATCCCAGCTTTACCACTGATCGTCTCTGTCGTCTTGGGCCACGATTTCACCCCTGAACCTGTGTCTGCGTCTCTACCGTGGAGCTGCCGCTCTGAATCACACTGGGCTGGGTGAGGATGGGATGCCCTGGGAAAGCCCTCGGCCCGTAACCCGTTTCTCGAAAGGTGTGGAAAATGTGGAGTTATGATGCTGTTGCGAATGTTTAAAAGGAAACTTGGAGATTTTAGAGGAGTATTTCTCAAAATGTGGTTTCTGCATTATAAGTAGCCGTAGTGTATGTTAAATATGATGATTTGTGTATTTTTACCATAATTTAAAAAATAATGGAGGGGCACCTGGCTGGTTCAGTCGGTTAAGCGTCCGGCTCTTGATTTCGGCTCAGGTCACGATCTCGCAGTTCATGGAATCGAGCCCCGTGTTAGGCTCTGCGCTGATAGCGTGGAGCCGGCTTGGGATGCTCTCTCTCCCTCCCTCCCTCCCTCTGGCCCTCTTCCACTCGCGCGTGCACATGCACGCTCTCTCTCTAAATAAAAAGCAAAAATAAAATTATTCAAAAACATGTATTTTGTGGCAGTGTTTTATCAAGTGAAATGCTAATATAAAAGTGAGAAAAAACAATAAAGGAATGTAATGTTTAAATAGAAAAACAACTGTTCTAAGCTTGCTATTGAAACATTTTCCCCCAAATACGCAGAAAATATCTTTGGTGGACTGAATGAGTTAAGCATTTTTTTTTTTTTAAAACCAGGCTTCCAGGGGCGCCTGGGTGGCTCAGTCGGTTAAGCGTCCGACTTTGGCTCAGGTCATGATCTCACAGTCTGTGGGTTCGAGCCCCGCGTCGGGCTCTGTGCTGACAGCTCGGAGCCTGGAGCCGGCTTCCGATTCTGTGTCTCCCTCTCTCTCTGCCCCTCCCCCATTCATGCTCTGTCTCTCTCTGTCCCCAAAATAAATAAACGTTAAAAAAAAAATTAAAAAAAAAACCAAACAAACCAGGCTTCCATTTTGCTACGTAGCATCTAAATGCTGGATAAATTAGCACAAGCATACTTGTAGGACTTAAACCTTCGTGTATAATACACATGCTAAAAAATAGTCATTATTGGCTCATAACCTGGTGAATTTCCACAACGTAAATAAACACACTTGTGCAACCACAAGAGTGTCACCAAGCACTTCCGGAAGCTCCTTCCGACCCCCTCCTGTAGCCACTGAAGTCTCTTCCTCCCAAGGATCCCCCTCACCTGACTATTCCCGTAGACAATTGCCCTGTGTTTGAATGGATCGTACCTAAGGCGGCCTGCGTCGATAAGGCTCGTTTAGCTTAGTGCTCTGTTGTGAGGCTCCGCTCGGGGCAGGAATTTGTTTATTCATTCTGTCTCTGGGGATCCTGCCAGAGCCTGAAACCGCAGTGCCCTGAGGCATCCGTCATATGGAGTTGAATTGATTTCTCTCCTGTGCATCTAGGACTGTGCTAGTCTTGTGCCTTCGGGAGCATTGAGAAAAGAGGCACTCACATCATTCTCTTAGAATCCTGAAAAAGGATGTGAGCTTTAGCATTTTGGGTTTTGTGGTCGAGCCTTCCAGCGGATGACTTCTAATATCTTCTCTGCTTCTCTTGTCCTCCCTGGGAGTTCCCGTGTGCTGCAGGCTACTCTGTCCCACCCGGGAGTGGGAGTCCAGCGACGTTCTCTAAATGCACAGCTGGCTCCTAGGAAAATTAGGGAAATTCCTAGAGGCCAAAAAAAAAAAGACGGTGGGGGTGGGGAAGCTGCAGCCTCTGGAGCCAAAGCCTGGGGTGAAAGGAGGCAGAGGGGGTGGGGTGGTCAGGGTGTGGCTGGAGCTGTGTCCCTCTCCTTAGCCCCTAATATTATAGGACCCTCAGAGCTATAGTCCTTGAATTGATGAGTGGGCTAGGAAACATAACCCTCCTAATGGCAGTAAAGTGTTTTAGCTATCATGTAGGGGGTTACAGTTTATGATTTAAAAAAAAAAAAGTTAATGTTTATTTATCTTTGAGAGAGTGCAAGCAGGGGAGGGGCAGAGAGAGGGAGACACAGAATCCAAAGCGGGCTCCAGGCTCCGAGCCGTCAGCACAGAGCCCGACGCGGGGCCTGAGCTCACGAATGGCAAGATCGTGACCCGGGCCGAAGTCCGACGTTCAACCGACCCAGCCACCCAGGCGCCCCCAGTTTATGATTTGAATCCTGTAGACCGATCCACAGCCTCTCCTCCGAGGCCTTTGGGGTTTGCGATTTTAGACTCCCTCTGATGTGCGGGAGACCCAAGTCTAGAGAGAAAATTAGCACTCGCGTGAAGAAAGAGCCGGCTGTGAAAGCCAACAGAGAACACCGGAAGCAGAATTAGAGCCCCCAGAGCATCTCAGTGGATTGTAATGTAGTTTATGTTTAAAACTGGAAGAAACAAAGGGTAGAATTAAAAAACATGAGCCAGAAGCAAACAGTAGCAAAAAGGACTGTGCAGATTGGAGGAAGAACCAAATGCAGGATTTAGAAAAGTGCTCGGCTTAGTGCCTTGCATCTAGAAGCTTCCTAATTAATAACTGTTAGCTTCTGAAGGTGCCCAGATTTAGGCAAGTGATGCTCAACATAAAACTCCTGACTTACCCAATATGCACTGTCTTCATGGAGCCTCCGTTCTAGAAGTATTCCCTGGAGCTTTTGTTCTTTTGGCCTTAAAATGTATTGACTTGGTTGAGATTGGAATCCCAACTTTGAGATGGCTTCAGGCGGCCGTGGTAGCACCTGCCTTCGTGTCGCAGTTTCAGCAGATCTCAGGGCTGTCCTGTGTCCGAGACATCGCCCTCCACCCGGCTAGTGCCTGGATTCCTGCTGCATAAGGCTTTGTTTCCTGAAACCCCATCGTGTGTGACATCATTTTAGATGCAGATGTTAAAAAATTGTATCGTAGGTCAGAAAAATAATGTCAGGTGTCCTTCATCGTCCCGCAGTGGGAGGAGCCGGGTAGGTGCATAAAACTCTCATAGGAAGATTTATATAAATGAGTGTAGGGGCGCCTGGGTGGCGCAGTCGGTTGAGCGTCCGACTTCAGCCAGGTCACGATCTCGCGGTCCGTGAGTTCGAGCCCCGCGTCAGGCTCTGGGCTGATGGCTCAGAGCCTGGAGCCTGTTTCCGATTCTGTGTCTCCCTCTCTCTCTGCCCCTCCCCCGTTCATGCTCTGTCTCTCTCTGTCCCAAAAAAATAAATAAACGTTGAAAAAAAAAAAAAAAAAAAAAAAAAAAAAAAAAAAAAAAAAATAAATGAGTGTATTCTCGCAGCACCTTTGGCCACTTTTCCCCTCCCCCATCATGTTCTGAGTGCCTCCTGATGCCAGGCCTTGTGCTTAGCAGGAAGCTTGTGAGGATGACTAAAACATTGTTCCTCCTTCCCGGGGAGTCACATTCCGCTTGACCACCAAGTCTGCCCCTGGGGCCCTTACAAATGCACGGGGATGAATTGAATCTATTGTATGCCTCTTTCTGCAAAACTGTTGATATCTTACGAATTTCTGATGAGTCTGCTTCAGCTTTTGGAGCAGGAAGGTATATGTATTGTGTATATTGCCAAGTATACGGAAACGTGAGCTAGCTAGCTAGATACTGTAGTTTTTCAAGCAATAAATAGGTTAAATAAATCAAGTTAACTTCTCCCTTTGACTAATTCCACCACGGCAAATCTTTCTAGGACGATGTGAGGCATAAGGTTCATCTGAACACCTTTGGATTCTTCAAGGACGGGTACATGGTGGTTAATGTCAGTAGCCTTTCAGTGAATGAACCTGAAGGAGCCACAGACAAGGACACAACCGTAAGTGCCTTCCAGGAGGTCAAGGGCTTTACCCGTTTCTGTTGTGTAGATGAGAGCTTCACCCCCCCTCCCCCCCACTTAAATATGAAGTATCCCAATGTAGAGAAAATTAAACTTGGGGGGTGGGCATCAGATAGTTTTATTTTTTAACACTTAAGTTGTAATTCTTGAATAATTTTTCGTAACTGGGGTTGCTTCTTACAAAATGAATGCTCAGAAGACCAAGAGAAGGCTAGGCCAAAGAATCGCCTTTTCTGCTCCTTGAGTAAGAAAGGTGTGGATGCCAAAGCACTGTGTGGACACTTACCTCTGCCCTTTCCTCCCCCTCTTAGATTGGATTCAGCCTGGACCGTACAAAGAATGACGGGTTTTCTTCCTACCTGGTGAGCATCCCTTGTATGACCCGGTTCCCCTCATCACTTTGAGCCCAAGACGCCGGGTGGGAGCCTCCTGCTTTTGTCAGTGCTGTGTTCCTGGCGGTGGGGGCTGCTTTGACTCCCTGGCATCTCCGAGCACCCACAGCTGTGTGGTCTGGGGCGGAGCACGGGTCACTTGCTTGCCTTGGTCCTGAAAACTTTCTGTTCTTATTCTGACGTGAGTGAATGAGATGATGTACCCCCGGGGCTTCCTTTCTCAGGATGAAGATGTGAATTACTGTATTTTAAAAAAAAAGTCCATCTCCGTCACCCTTCTAATCCTAGACATCTCCAGAAGCGAGTAAGTAATTGCAGTGTTCCTTCAGTCCCATCCTAGAGGAGACTTAGGGGGAGTTGGGTAGCTCAGCTGACATTCGCGGAGCGTCTACCAGATACTGGGCCGAAGGCAGGACGTCAAGAACATGATGAGGGGGACAGAGGCGCCGCCCCCGAGAAGCGTGCAGATTAATGACGGAGACCCAAGGGCAATACACGTGGTCACAGCAATATAGAGAGGAAGTAGGGCGGAGAAACGGGTGACTTAGAGAAGAGGAGGGAAGGCTTCAGGCAACCGTTGGCTCCTTGGCAGGACGGGGTCTGCTGAGCGGGGAGAAGGGAGGGAATGCACGTTCGGCAGGCCACACATAGTGCCCACTGCCCCTCACATGCCCTCCCAGAGTTCCCTTTAACATCTTACTTGGTTTCTTACCCCTCGCTCCACTTCCCTTGTGCGCCAATTCGTTGAACACATTTTAGACACTAAGGGGGAAAATACGTTCATGAGAGCCGTGTGGTCACTAGGAATGTAAGCTTCGGAGTGAGAATGTCAGGTCCTCGCCCGGCTGCTTCCGGCCTCACCACTCTTGGGCAAGTTATTAACCTCCCCAACCCCCCATTTCAGCAGGTGTACAAAGCAGACAGTAGAATCCACATCAGGGACCTCGTAAGGACTACCTGAGATGATGGGTTTAGACCCCGGGACAGTGTGTAACACAGGGCACTCAAAGGGCCCTAGCATTCCTTTGAACTTGGTTACTTTTCTCTTATTTGAATTTAGGGTGAGAGTAAGATCTCCACCAGACGCTGGTACCCAGCTACCAAAGATCATCTTCAGCAAGGATGAGAAAGTCCTTGGCCAGAGCCAGGAGCCTGGTGTTGACCCTGTTCCAGCGGGCAACCAGACTCAGCAGAAACGAGGTAAACTATAAGGTGGAGAACAGCATTTTCTTTACCACCCTGCTTCGTAGATTCTTCTTTATCCCCAGGTAAAAACCACACACAGTAATAGCATTATTTTATTTTGGAGGTTGTCCAAAAATAAATAACCCTCAAAGAAAAAGGTGGAAACTGGGGGAAAGGAGAAACAGAACAGTAATTTCTCTGACCTTGTGTTAGAATTTTAGTATCTCTGTTTTCTTTTTCTTCTCTTTTTTTTTTTTTTTTAAGTTTATTTTTGAGAGAGTGAGAGAGAGCCCTTACACAAGTGAGGAAGGGGCAGAGAGAGAGAGAAAAACCCAAGCAGGCTAGGCACCAGCCCAGAGCCCACTGCGGGGTTCGAACTCAGGAACTGTGAGATCATGACCTGAGCTGAAGTTAGAGGCTTAACCGACTGAGCCATTCAGGTGCCCCCGTATTTCTGTTTTCTTCTGAGCTGTTTCCTGGGTGGGTCTAGAACATTTGATTTTTATTTCTTGTAAAAATTCTTTTAATGTTTATTCATTTTTGAGAGAGACAGAGTGCAAGCAGGGGAGGGCCAGAGAGAGAGGGAGACACAGAATCTGAAGCAGACTCCAGGCTCTGAGCAGTCGCACAGAGCCCAATGCAGGACTCGAACCCACGAACCGTGAGATTGTGACCTGAGCCAGAGTCGGAGGCTTAACTGACTGAGCCACCCAGGCGCCCCCGATGTTTAAAAGTCATAGTCATGTTTGTAATTTCCTAAGCATCCCTGTTCACTCAACTTTAAGATAGTTCATTCTTACCAGCCATCCCATTATATGGATACTGTAACTTGCTCAAGCTTTCCCCTTAAGGAGACGTATTTCCATTGTCATGCTATTATAAATATTGCTGCACTGGAGGTTCTTTATTGTAGAACTTTGGTCATTTCTAGAACTTTCTTTAGGATGGGTTCCCTGAACTGGAATATTCGCTTCAAAGGATAGGAGTACTGAGAGAATATTGGTACTATTTTCAGCTCCTTTCCAAATGAGTTGTATGAATTGATAGTCCTTTTGGAAAATCTATAAGAATAGTGCCCACATCACCTTGTCCTAGCCAGGACTGGGATTTTGGTGTACGTTTGTTTGTTTTGGACCCAAAGTAAAAGGCAGAAAGGACTCCTGTTTGGGTATTTCTCTTAACTACTGACGTTGCACTTTTCCTCCATATGTTGATTAACCAGTTTATATTTATTGCCTCTTTTATTAACTGTCAGGTTTATCTGGTAGTTTAGTTCTTAAAGAGAACTTACTCTTTATTATTGACACTTTTTTTTCTCAGTGTGTCAAAACTCTAATCCCAATTAAAAGACATACAGAAACGTTACCTTTGCGTGATGGTGCAGTTTAGTGTCTGCGTACCATTTCCTCCTCGTGCTGGTTTCTCATGCTCACGTACACATTCGCTGCACGGAAAGTATCCTTTTCCTACTTTTATTTTGAAACTCTCTCCCTATACCGAGGTTGAGATCCTGTCTTCCCCATGAAGATATCTTAAATAAAAATAAGGCCCAGATGCCCTCTCTGTTCCATGAAAGAAGCCATTAGCAATCTTAACACTCCCTTCTGTTGGGAAAAAGCATCAATTATGCTACTGTTATTTGCTATGAATTTTTCTGTATGTGTAAATAGATGTCATACACACACACACACACACACATATATGTATATATATGTGTGTGTGTATATATACATATGTGTTTATGTATACATATACGTATACATACGTGTGTATATACATATATACATATACATACGTGTGTATATACATATATACATACATATATACGTATATACGTATGTATATATACATATGTATGTATACACATATATACATATATATGTATATATATATATATATACACACACACATATTTTGTTGTTGTTTATTTATTTTGAGAGGGAGAGAGTGTGTGCATGCAGAAACAGGGGAGGGACAGAGAGAGAGGGAGAGAGAGAAGATCCCCAAGCAGGCTCCACGCTGTCAGCACAGAGCCCGATGTGGGGCTCGAACTCAGGAACCATGAGATCGTGACCTAAGCCAAAATCAAGAGTCGGATGTTAACCGACTGAGCCACCCAGGCGCCCCGTGTGTACATATTTTGAAACAATGATCTGTTTTTAAATGTGATTACTTAGAAAATGAGGAAGGTCACTCCATGTGGCATCTCTGGCAATAACATACACTAGATTATTCAGAGATGAGTTTCCCTGTTGGGACTGAATGTTATCCTTTGTTAGAGAGCATTTATGGGGCGCCTGGGTGGTTCCGTCGGTTAAGCGTCCGACTTCCGCTCAGGTCATGATCTCACGGTTTGTGAGTTCGAGCTCCGCGTCAGGCTCTGTGCTGACAGCTTAGAGCCTGGAGCCTGCTTTGGATCTTGTGTCTCCCTCTCTCTCTGTCCCTCCCCTACCCGTGCTCTCTCTGTCTCTCAACACTAAATAAACCTTAAAAAAAATTAAAAAGAGAGCATTTATGAGCTCCAATTTGCTGCTTCTGCAATTGAAGAATCGTTTTAGAATCTGAGGAGTTGGCATTCTACAAGATAGCATACGGCCTCACCTTGTTTGTTTGATTTATTTGATACTAGACAAGCTAGAGCCTCATAACGTGATGCTGTAATATATCTAAGAGCTGAATCATGCAGTAACATCTTTTAAATGTTTCTGCTTCTAGACGGTGGAAAGTCTAAAAGAAGTACGGTAGATTCCAAGGTAAGAACTGACCACCCACTGCTCAGCTTTTCTGCGTATATTTGTAGCTGTGTGTATATGTGTGTGGCTGTATATGTAAGTGACTGAATGTGGGGATACGAATGTGGGTATGAATGTATAGACATACACATAAGCAGGTACACACAGGTGCGCGTGCCTACTCCACAGGGCGTTGCTCTCTGTCGGGAGAGCTATTACTGCACTGGAAGAATAAGCATGACAGGTGCCGGGCCCCGGCCTGTGGGAAATAGAAGGTGTGCCTGGAGCAGAGAGGGGGATCTTAGATAATATAGGTCCAGACAATAGAGGGTGTTTATTGATGCACCCAAAATAGGAAGTCCTCAGGAGTTCTTGGTCAGGAAAGACTGATACAGATGGTGTTTGGGGCAGACGCTGCCCTGCAAGTAACGTGCAGAGGAGCCTGGGAGTGGGGGAGAGTGGAATGAGGAGGACCCGGAAGAGCGCCCGCTGTGAAAACACACGGTGCCCTGACAGCGTCGTGAGGGTCTGCAACCAGAGCAGAGCCTTGGGATGGGAAGTAAGGGCTGGGGGCGAGGCAGGGGAGGGAGGTGTTTATCTTCCACTGTTTGCAGTAGACGAAGAGGTGGTAGAAATCGCAGAAGGAAAAATCGGCAACGTTTGGGTTTGGGGTATCTTGAATTTTCAGCGAGGGGGCACCCAGGCGGCAGCACTGCGTCGGAACCGATGCGTTGAAGGGTAATCGTCATGCGGTTAAGTGCGCACTTTGAACGGTTTCGCCCTAAGCGTCCACCTGTGAACCCGCCACCACGATCGAGACCGTGCACCCATTCACGGTCCTGCAGGTTCCTCCTCCCACCCCCGGCAACCACCGGTCCGCCTCTGCAGATCAGTGACGCAGAGCTTTGTAGAAGTGCCTTATGCAGCACGCGCCCCGGTTGTCGTCTTTGACTCCGCGTGACCGTTTTGAGTTCGGCCATGTTGTTGGCTGTATCCGGAGTCCCTTCCTTTCCGTTGCTGAGAACTTGTCGGTTGCGCCGATGGCAGTAGGCCGGTGGTTTGAAATCGGGAATGGCGTCCAGGCGGTGTGTCGGGGTGTGACCTGGGCAGGCATCCGTAGTCTTGCTGAAGCCGTAAGAGCAGAGATGTGCTCCGGGGTGGGGGTGGGGGGAGATCGGGAGGGCGGGGGCAGGGAACAGGGGGTTATCGGGGAGGCAGAAGAGACCGCAGAGAGTAGGAAGTAGGTGAGGAGGAATCCCCATTCTCTGGGAAAGGGGATCTCAGACCTCTCGAAAGGATGGTGAATTTTATTTTCAGAGAGCTTTTGAAGGTCAGCCAGCTCAGGATTTTTTTAAAAGGATGTGTTTTTGGTTTCGTTTTTCCATTTCCATTTTTATGAGCATACATTTTTTGCCAGTGTCCTCCTAAAACAGGCGATTGTGTTTTGTTTTTTCTTTTTTAGGCCACGGGAGAAAAATCCTTTTCTGTTCACAATAGCGATGGGGCAGTTTCTTTTCAGGTATGTATTCTCTTGGAGTCATCTCCGTAGGATTTATCCCTACAGCGTAAATGGGTGAATTTGTGAAGGAAGTTTGAGTTTAGGAACGATAGTTTAGGCATGCTACACATCGGTCACTCGAACGCGGTCGCTCTTTCCCTGGCAGACCTACAAGGTGGACACGGTTACCCACCGCTTACCAGATCATGTCTCTGAGAATGAGCCACTTTGTGAATGTCCAGCATGAGTGACAGGGTCCAGATTCCAGCCCACGTCTGCCCGGCTGTCCCCACACCTCTGCCTCTTTAATCCCGTGCTGCCCCCTATTCAGAGTGTTCTAGAAGCACAGAATTCTGTACCTAGGAAGACCTGTGGCGATCATTGACGATGCCGGTAGGATTTGAGAGATGAATTCACCGGGGCCCCTAGGCCTTGAGTGACCGGCCCAGCTGGTCCCGCTGTTCGGTGCACGAGAGCACGTGTGGCAGCCTTACAGCCTTGGATGGGGTCCAGCGCCCACTTACTAGGTGGTGACCTCAGACAACTCAGTTAACTCCCGAATCTTGCTCTCCAGTCATCTGAAAGTGAAACATGATGGAACCTAGCTCATAGAGTTCTTGTAAGTGTCATTTTTAAAGATATAAAAGTGCTTTGTGAAACACTATACAAATAATCTTTTATCGTGGATTTGTAAGAATCGCTGTCTCTTTTCTAAGCAGTTTTCATTAATTGAGGTCTGATTTGCTTCGAGTGAAACGCACAGGGCTTACACAACGCAATTTGATCAGTTCTGGCAAAGGCACGCACCCATGTAACCCACTCTCTATTGAGATTTCTGGTATTTTTATCACCTCAGCGCCCCCCATCCCTGCATCCACTGTCCTGATTTCTTTCAGCATAGATCATTTTGCCTCTCTAAACAATTTTATATGTTCTTTAAATTTAGTACCCCCAGGTTTTAGTAGCTAATTGAGAGCCTGTGGACGCTCGTCTGCTCAGAACCCTTGGCGGCTTCCCATCTGCCTCAGAGCAAAAGCCTCGAGCCCTTCCCGGTCTGCGAGGCCACGTGGTCTGGCTGCCTCTGGCTGCCGTCTTGTCTGTGACCTCGGCTTCTGTTTTCTGCTCCAGCCGCGGAAGCCACCTTGCTGCTCCCTCCCAGAACCGATCAGGCCTGAGCCTCTGCTGTGGCTGTGCCCCCTAGTGGAAATGCTTGTCCCTCACAGTCCACATGATTAATTTCTTCCTCTTTCAAGCCTTTGCTCGAATATCATCATCTCGTCAAAGCTTCCGCCTTTGCTCGAATATCATCATCTCGTCAAAGCTTCCTCCGTTCGCCCTGTTTTAAATGCAGCTCCCTTCCTTCCCCTGTCCCTGCAGGCTTCCCCTTCGCACTTTTCCTTTTTCCAACCTGCTGTGTACTCCGCTTATTTATTATGCGGATGTTCTGTTGCTCCCCTTAGAAGGTAGCCATAAGGGAGAGGTTTTTTTTAAATCTGTTTTATTACTGATGTATGTAAAGTCCCTAACCTTGGGCCCGGCCCATAATAGGCTGTGTCCGTTAGTAATCACGGAGCCGAGTAACTGGGTGCCAGGCGTTGCGCTGAGTACTTACACGTTGTCGTTACCCCAGTTCGTCCTTCCAGCACCTCTGTGAGGTAGGCACTGCTATCATTCCCCTTTTACAGATGAGGAGACTGAGGCTCAGAGAGGTTAAGTAACTTGTCCAAGGGGAGGATTCAAACCCAAGTGTGTCTGACTCCAAGGCCCATGTGTTTAACCACCTTGTTCACTGCCTCCTTAAGAAAATACGAGAGGTACTTCCCTTCTTTCCTTCTCTCATCTTAAAATGCTTGCTAAGACAGTAAGCTTTTTGAAATTTCTCTAAACCGTTTCTTTAAAAATCACCAAGGAAAGAAAACGTGGTGGGATTTACACATTTGTCACTTACTGGCGCTCTGTGTCAGGGTGAGTGTCGTGGGGAAGCAGCTTGTGTGATGGTTAAGAACGTTGAGATAACCAGTTTGCAGGGTTCTCGGGGTGCATGCGACAGGCAGTGGATGGCCAGTCTGCCTTCTCTCTGGCTTCCCTTCTCGTAAAGAAGTCGGTACATGACCCCTTGCCTTGCTGTTCGCTAATTTTGGACAAGGCAGTCACCGTGAGCCTTTCTACCCCATCCACGGAGCAGGGATGATAGTTTATGTGCCTAAAGCAGGGAGGGGACCGTTAGGCCTTATTCCTACTCTAGAATATACATTCGTGTTTGATTTTGTTTGCCGGTCAGGTGCCTCCTGGGATCGGCCATGATATTTCTGCTGACTTTTTTAGAAATTTCTATTTCTTAGAATCTTCATGGGCATCTTACTTTTGGAACTAAAAGTTACCAAGACGTTAAGAGTTTTCTGGCTACCTTGCGTGGACTAAGACATACGCTCTGACATTGACAGCTGAGCTTGGGAGATGATTTAACAAAGGAATAATTCCAGCTTGAATACCTTCGGTCTCTTATTTCCGTCTTCTCGTCAGATACCTGTTTTTTTCCCTATCCTGTCTAAGTGGACCTTTGTAACCATCAGCGGGGGCCAGAAATAGAACAGTGCCAGCACCCCAGAAACCCCGTGTGACCTTCACATCCCTTCCCAACTGTTATGAGAGATGTCATAGCCCCGTCAGTTCCTCGCTTCTCCTTACGGTTTATCGTGTATCTGTGTAGCCCTCAAGAACCTATCTTAGGCTTGTAGCAAAATGTTTTTGACCAAGGAGTCGTATTTTCTAATCTTATCTACAAAATGTCTTTGGATTTACGTTAAACTCCGTTTGAACACCTGAAACATGCAAGAAACAGGAAAGTGTGCAAATGTAGAAAATATGGCCTGTGTCCCTGTTGTCTGAAATCACAGGTATACATTTTAACGAGGGAGTGTTCGTCCTCTGCCTTTTCAAGTAGCAGGCGGGCCTCCTTCCTTTTTCGGGAGTTTTTTGTTTGTTTTTGTTTTTGTTTTTGTTTTTAACCTAAAAGAGCAAGACGACGTGTTGACTGAAAAGTAGGTACCTGCATCGTAGGTCATCCCTGCGGCCCCCAGCCACACCTCCCACAGCTGGGGAGTCTGTGACAAAACCAGGGTGGTAGGGAGTGGACCGTAGACCCCAGGTAGTGGGCATGCGGGTACTCACCAGCCACTTCCGTCCCCTTTCCTGTCGCCTGGACAGAGACCGAATCGCAGAGGAAGAAAACACCTGTTTGGTCTCTGCCCTGGGGGAATTCGGTTAGGTCATTTGTCTGTCTGTATTTGTTTCCGCCCTTAGCATCCCTGATTTCTTCCTAAGATTTAAACACGTCGCCGGGGATCTGGCATTCTGAAATCTTTGTCCTCTCCACTTACAGTTTTTCTTTAACATCAGCACCGATGACCAAGAAGGCCTCTACAGTCTTTATTTTCACAAATGCTCCGGGAACGAATTGCGGTCTAGCGACGAGCTCTCCTTCAGCCTTGATGTGAGTACTGCGTGTGGATTTTGTCAGCCCCGTAAAACGTGAGGCATTTGTTTCTTTGTAAGAGTGGGTTTTAACAACCCTTAAAACGGAGTCGGAGAAAAAAATGGCCGGAATCTCACCTCTGCAGAGGATTCCTAAGCTAGAAAATACAAAGCAGTTTGGGGTGTTTTTACACTTTGCGCTGTGCGTTAGGAGTGTGGCTATCTGCCGGTACTTTCTTCGGCCCGAGTGAAGCAGCTAAGGCGACAGACTGCTGGCTGTGGGGTGATCTGTTCTTGAAAAAGAAAAAATTAATCTCACGTTCGTTGCAGATTGAGATCACAGAGAAGAACCCTGACAGCTACCTCTCGGCAGGAGAGATCCCTCTCCCTAAATTATACATCTCTATGGCCTTTTTCTTTTTCCTTTCTGGGACCATCTGGATTCACATCCTTCGAAAACGACGGTAAATTGTTACTTCCTTGAGCCATCCAGCTTAGAGTATGTTGAGATGTGTATAATTTCACCTTTTGCTGGCTTCTGTGCCTGGGGGGCATTGGCTCTAGCAACCCTGCCCTCTTCAAAGGGCATCTTTCCTGAAACAGGGAGACTTTGCAGTGTGTGGGGGGGCTTGGCATGCCGTGGTGTTTTCTTCCCTTTGCTTTGTTTATTTCTTTATGTTTAAGATTTGTTTTTAACATTTTTATTTATTTTTGAGAGAGAGAGAGCATGAGCAGGGGACGGGAAGAGAGAGAGGGAGACACAGAATCTGAAGCAGGCTCCAGGTTCTGAGCTGTCGGCACAGAGCCCGACGTGGGGCTCAAACCCACAAACCATGATCTGATGTTCTGAGCCGAAGTGGGACACCAAACTGACTGAGCCACCCAGGCGCCCCCCTCCCTCTTTGCTTTGTTTAAACAGCAGATCCAAGTATTTTGATGATTCAGGGGCTGTTTGTTCATGAGGAGGAGGAGAGTGACAGGGAGCCACAGCCTGGCTGAGAGCGTAGCATTACTGCCCTGTGCTCGATATTGCCCGTCTACCGGGCAGAGGTGTTGGCTTCCAGAGACTTGTCACTGGAGGAAAAACTTCAAAGCCCACCTGCCCGGCTCTTGGCCTCTCTTCTGAAACCCAAAGGCTTTATCTGCCTGTACTCGGTTATTGAAGGGAGCAGCTGCATGTGTGTGTGGGACCAGCGTTTAATTCTGTCTCCTTTCCCCCAAAAAACAGAATAAAATACTACTTTTCAGTTGGAGAACAGTATGAGCATTTGTTACATAAGATCTGTAAACTAAGTAAAGGACGGTATATGCATATGGCACTGTAACGTGGCGTCATTTAAATTCATAAGATAATTAGGCATCCCAAATACGGAATACCTCTTTCTGTGGAGCATTGGGCAGAAATCGAGACCTCTTCGGTCCCCAGGAGCCTGTCTTCTGGCAGACATGCTCAGCTGGGGTAGCGAGCTCAGGCCAGGGCAGTGCAGGCTCCGGTTTGTTTTAAGATTTGGATTGATGGAAAGAGCCACTCGTCTACTTGTGAAGGACCGTGCATGGTTGTGTTTGGGGTAATCAGGTGGCCATTCATAAGAAAACAAGAATCTTAACCAATTCAGGCTATAAAAAGGTTTTCCAGTGAAGTGTTGATTCTTCCTTTATTAGAAAAATCAGAACTGGGACTCAGAGACCCAATTCCAGGTGTAAACACGGACCGCTCCCACGTCTGTGTCTCGCTTCACTCCTTGGGCCACAAAACAGGGGCGGGGTCATTGCCCTGCCTTCCTCTGAGTGTCTTAGAACCTTAGGTGTGTTGTGTGATTCCCCCGCCTTCCCCCCAAATCCTTTGCGCCAGAGGACTTTGCAAATCAGGGCACTATGCAAATGCGAGGTGCGTACGAAACACCTGAGCAGACAGGTGCTCAGGGGTATTTCAGTTTCTGTTTATTTAGCGATGAGACCGTCCCTCTCGCTGGTCCGCTTACATGAGATGACGGTGAGTTTTAACTCTGTGGCCAGAAGAGGCGCACCTGCTGCACGCAGCACGTGTGTGGTTCACGGCACTTCGCGTGGAAGGGGAGGACAGACAGCCGCTCGCTTTCCAGTGCCTGCTCCCTGCCCAGTCCAGCACCGGATGCGGGCTCTGTCCGCTCACCTTCCACCTCCTGGAGGTGGGCGATGCCCCATCTTCAGCAGAGGTTACTGGGGGCCGAGAGGGGTGAAGGTTGGCAGGGTAGAACCCGTGTTCTTGCCAAGTTACTGGGGCTCTCTTTCGAGCCTCTTCTCCCTCCCGTGTCATCACCGCCCCGGCCGCTGGCGCTTCGAGCAGGATTGCAGGTTGGGGGGGCCGGGGTGTGTGAGCGAGCCGTCTCGGCAGCGGGCGGTTCTGCGCTCTGGGTAGATGTCGTCGCCACTCTGGCCTTGACTTCCTTTTTGACCTTGGAGTAGGTAGGCGTCGGAAGGGAAAGGACCAGGGGGAAATCGGCCGGAAAGGGAGCGTGCGTCAGTTTGTGACACACCCTCCCTATCGGTCTGTGCCAGGCCCCTGTTCTTCATTTCCCCTTCGTCCCGACCCCCGACCCCTCTCTCGGTCCTTCCCAGCTGCTCCGGTGCACGTGATGTGTGTTGTTGGGCGTGGGTGTGTTTACTGTTCCTGCGTACGTTTGTGACTTTCGTAAACCATGCCAGCTCTAGATTGCTGTCCGTGCCACTTGTCATGCAGTAGTAGCTGTGTCAAGGCCTAGTCACACTGCCGTGTGTCCGTCCGGTTCATTCAGTTTTGGCTACCCCATAGTGCGCATCCCCACGTTTTACTCACCCATCGCTTTGGTGAGGGACCCCTCCCTGGCCTGTCCCCTTATGGCTCCGTGCAGCCTCGGAGGTGCGCTCCCAGAAAGAGGTGCACTGGGCAGGGGGTAAAGTCTTCCTTAATTTCATTAAGCGCCCGCCACCAGGTGGCCCGTACCAGCTTCTACTCCTGCCAGGGGTGCAAAGGGTTCCTGTTTCTCCAGACACCACCGGCATCTTATTTTTGGGTATAAACTGGTGCTTCATTCTATTTTGCATTTCTCTGACCACTAGTGACGTGAAATCTCCTTCCGGGGCCTTGTTAACCATCTGGGTTCCCCTCCTTGTGACCGTCTCTGTGCTTTGCACATTTTCTTTGGGTTTTCTGTCATTTTCTTGTCACTTTACATGAGTTTCTTGCATAGTGTGGACATCAATCCTTTGTCTGTCCCAGACATGGCAAATTTCTTCCCCCGGTCTGTTAAACTTACCTGTGTATTCATATTAACAGAGTCAAAGCTATCTAATCTTGGGCGGGGCTTCTCGGAAGAAGCCTTTTCCTACTCCAGGGTCACAAAGGATGTAAGTTATGTTTGGCGCTGAAATCCATCTGGAGTCCTTCTTTATGTAAATGTGAAGTGGGGACACAGCTGCACACACACACGCACACGCACACGCACACACACACACACACACACACACAGGATTGGGTGGATTTTCCCCGTGCCAGTTATTAAATGGTCCGTCCTTCTCCAGCCAGTTGGCTGCCCCTCGTCTGTCGTAGGCCAAGCCTCCATACACGCAGGAATCCATTTCCAAGCTCTCGGTTCTGTTGGCTTATTTGTCGGACGCTGTACCCCTTCCACACTTTTTGCTGCTGTGGCTTCGCAGAATGTCTTGATGTCTGAGAGTGTGACTTTCCTCCGTAGCTCTTATTCAAGTCTCAATGTACTTTCATAGTTTTAAATCTGTCTCCGGAGGCGTCTTGTGTCCCATTAGGTTAGTTCCCAGGGTGAGGTCGGAAAGGGTCGAGGAATTGAATGGCTGGCAGCCCGAAGGTGGGCGAGTACCTGTGTAGGCCTGGTGGTGGGAGTGGGCGCTTCTCCCCACTGGCCGGTCCCAGCCCTGAGGGCGAGGGGACGGGGCACCACCCCGGGGCTCTCCCTTCCGCCCTGCCCCCCTCCGGGCCGGGCCGCAGCCCCGCCCCTACAGCTGCGCCTGCGCCCCTTCTGCTCTCCCAGGGAGAGCTCTCGCCAGTTCCGTAGATCCCGCCGCCTCGTTCTCGCCTCTGTGGCCTTTCCAGGGTGGTTTCTGGGCACGAGGCTGGCCAGCTGTGTGGATTTCCATCTTCTCAGGAACTGGAACTCGTCCTGTCTGGCTTCAGTGCCTGACGCTGCTGCAGTCACAACAGAGACCTGTGGCCTTGGTACCTGATGCTGCTGTGGTCACGGCACAGACTTGTGCGCGAGAGGCGACTCTGGGGCCCCGTTGGGTCTGTTTCTGCTGGTGGAAACTAGGTCTCAAAAAAGGCTTCGTGTTTCTGGTTTGCTTAGGTTGTATTCACTGCTTCCTTGTAAATGTATCTGATGACTGTCTTTTAATTCTTTCTTTTCTGTTTTTATAGGAATGACGTATTTAAAATTCACTGGTTGATGGCAGCCCTTCCTTTCACCAAGTCTCTTTCCCTGGTGTTCCACGCGGTATGTATTAATATTTCGGGTCATTTATGAAATGATGTGCTGTGCCTCTAATCAGGAAAAATGAGTTGGAAGGAAGGGGGGGGAAACAGTAGATTAAAGAAGTCCTTTTGTCACGGAGCCTCCTTTGGTACGGGAGGGACCATCACAGGGATGAGTCATTACACCCTCCCTGACCTGGCCCGAGACCTCTTCTAATACTGCCTACGTTCCCAGAGTTTTCCTAGAACGCTTCCTTGCTTCCTTGCTTCCTTGCTTTTATTCCTCCCCCTTTTTTTTTAAGTCCTTTCTTGGGATTAGAGTGCCACCTGCTGAATTGTTTCCACGATTTTACTTTTCTAAACATCTTTCCCATTTGATTTGAAGCCCAGTGTTAGCATACTTCCTCGGGGAAGTGATGCCCTAAATATTGAGGCGTGTGAATCGAGCTCGCACTTTGCCTAGTTAGTCCAGGTGCGAGCTGAAGTGAGCCTGCCCGAGGGAGGAGTGCCACAGCCTGCCGGGTTTCTAGGCCCGTGAGGCTCCTGAGGCTGCGCCTCTGAGGGCGACAGCATCCAGACATGCGCTCTCCTGCAATTACAAGGGTTGTCGTAGGCGTCGTGATGTGTCCACTTACAGTCTCTAGAAATGACAGTCGTTTGGATAATTTCCCATTTGGATCTGAGTTAAAAGACTCTTTCTGGGGCACCTGGGGGGCTCAGCCGGTGAAGCGTCCGACTTCAGCTCAGGTCATGATCTCATGGTTCGTGAGTTTGAGCCCCGCGTCGGACTCTGTGCTGACAGCCCGTGGTCTGGAGCCTGCTTGGGATTCTGTGTCTTCTTCTCTCTCTGCCCCTCTCCCGCTCGTGCTCTGTCTCTCTCTCTCTCTGTCTCTCTCAAAAGTAAACGTTAAATTTAAAAAATTCTTTCTGGAACCTTCTAGATGATGAATGGCAGGATCCTTGAGTCACTTTAGTATCTAAGTAGCCATTTGTGATAGAATGAAGAAATTGCTGTCAGCGTTTGTGAGTTGTGCCAGGAAGCATTTTGGGTGTGCTTCTGAAACCTGCTACTTTATTTACTTAAAAAAAAAAAATTTGGGGGGGCGCCTGGGTGGCTCAGTCGGTTAAACGTCTGACTTTGGCTCAGGTCACGATCTTGCGGTCCGTGAGTTCAAGCCCCGTGTCGGGCTCTGGGCTGATGGCTCAGAGC